AAGAGCTGAGAGCTTTCTTCTCCACTTCTTCCATGTATAGGTTGGCAACAATGGGTGACACTGGGGAACCCATGGCACAGCCGTGTTTCTCTCTGTAGAAGTCACCTCTGTAAGTGAGGTAAGTAGTGCTGAGGCACAGGTCCAGGAGGCAGCAGATCTAGTCCGGGTTGAGGAGACCCTCTGTGTGAAACATTTACTCATATTAGTTTCTTGAAACAGGCTCAAGCTGCACTTGTCTGATTGATACCTTGATAGTAACTCTTCCTTCTGTCCTTCAGGGAGTCTTGGAGATCATCTGGTCCAACTCCTTGCCCAGTGCAGTAATCTGTTACCACTACACAATAAATTCACATAAACTTGATCAAAATGGATATTGTTTTGAAATATTTTGCTGGACTCTACCCATAAAAAATATTACCATTTGAAAAGATGGAAAACCCAGCTATTTGTGAAGCATTTACTCTGGCTCCAAAATATTTTTTATGTTAAGCAGAACTTGAAGCCTTCTGATGGTTTTTTTTTTTTTGGTTTTTAGCCTATATCTATATAGTTTTTATTAAGAATTTTGATTATAATAGTAAAATCCAAAACAAACACCACTTAAAGAAAGAAAAGAGAATAGAAAGAAGTAAAAGTGCAAGAAAAAAGAAAAGAGTAAGAATATAATAAGGAAAGAAAAAAGAAATATATAAAGAAATTACTTGCAACCTTCATCACAAGTATAAACAAATTTAGTGACTCTTCACCCCCTCTAAAGTTAGAAACATTTATCTCTTCATCCCATATCCTATCTCTTACAGTATCTAGAAACAAATCCATAAAACATCATCTTTTCAATCCTGGTGTCAGCAGAAAGTCTGTAAAGGGTTGCCAGATGTAACAACATATCTTGTTTTAACCTTGATCAAATAAACCAAATTTATATTCCTTCCTTTACTCCTAACAGTCTTAATCTTTAGTTCATTCAAATATTGATGTAGGATTTGATTTCTCTTAATTACTTCTTTGTCCCATCGCACAGAGTTTTTCAAGACTTTAACAATACTGTTTTGTAAATACAGTAGGAAAAAATTATCCAGGTCACTCACTTGGTCTGTCATTTATATTTCCTTTTTAAATTTTAAAGCCTCAGCCAGTTTCTTTTGTAGATCCAGTGAAATATCCTTTTCTAAGTTATTCTCTTGGCCTGTCAATATCATCTCTATCTTGTCAGATAAAATTTGTTCTACATCTGACATTTCCTCAATAACATCTTTTGGACATAGTCTATCCATAGAAGCAGACATCATTACTGACATTGTTGATATTGTGGCTACTTTTTTTTGATTCCATTGACATAGTCTATCCATAGAAGCAGACATCATTACTGACATTGTTGATATTGTGGCTACTTTTTTCTGATTCCATTCTTCAAAAATCTCCTTCAATATTTTTATTGTTAGAATGTTTTGCAATATTTTACAGGTTTGTAAATCTTTCCTCTACCTAAAAACTTTAGTCCCCTCTAGTGTACAGTTTTTGAAATCATGAAATTGCTTATCTTTGTTTTGTCTTGCAAAAGCCAAAACAGAATCTATTTCCCATGAGAAGCTATTTGTTCTTTATAAT